ATAGAGACTGTGTATTACAGTTGATTATAGTTCCTGGGCTCCCTGTGATAGAATTATGTATACAAATCGGGATTCCATCGATCATAGCGCGTGATGATAGCAGCTGTCGTTCGCAAGACGTTGACAGGCCGCCATCTTGGAAATACCTACACAGGTCAACATGTGACCGGAAGATTACAAAATTCGATTTTTTTTTTTGCTTGGACAAATTATAACATACGCATACCCATTAATCTATGAAGATATCCATAAATAATCTAAAAAAATTGACAGTAACGAGTGATGTTTTTTTTTTCATGTCGTGTCTATACCAGCCTCGTCTAAGATGTTGATTGAAATCGGTGTAGGCCTACCATGTTCGGTGTTCTTACGATCGGCAAAACATACACACACTGGCATTTTATTTCTAAAATTACGAAATCTTACCTGAACAATTGACCTTAACCAGAGAAATGTCTTTTTTCACGATTCATCAAAACCAGTCTCACGCCGTTTCCGTGTTTCTACACGCTTCCGTTTCTGTGCTGTGCTAGCGGTGATTGTACGTTTTAGCTGGGCGTAAACGGTGATAATTTATGCAGTGCTACGTGTGAGTGGGTCAAAAGGATGTAAACAATGCATCCTATTAGCATGGCGGTGAAGTTGTAAGCATGGCGGTCCGAGCCCAAGCGTGGCGGCCGGGTCGCCAAGCATGGCGGTACCGCCATGCTTTGTTCTATGTGGGGAGAACACTGTATTATACATGTAACGCCTAAAACAATTAAATTGTTGTTCTGGATAAAGCTGTGTCAGCAATTGCATGAATTTCCCCCAGATGGGGGATAAACTACATCACCAACATTGACACATTCAAGGTTATTGACATCTCTTTCAAACACTTCTCGTTGGTTACATTCAATGTAGAAGCAGTATAGTGTGTGACTAAAATAGAATCCTGTCACTGAATTCATTATTGCCATTTCGGCCTTTCTCTCGTTAAATTATTACTACAAGCTGGAAATAGATGTATAATATTAAGAATACCGCAAAGTCTGTACTTGAGCAGTACTGGGTCACATCAGCATCTGCTATGCGCTGGTCGATACATGACCAATACTGCCTTCTCTATACATGCGGTATTTACGTGTAACCTCATATTTTCTGCTGGATCATTAAAATATGAATATTTATTTATGTGAAGCATATATTACTAATGGAACAAATATACTTTACATGTATGTCTGTTTTTCTTTCATTCACTTACTTTCAGTTGATTAACCCTTTTCCGGTCAAGTCGGTGAAAAACCGCCGTCAATATGGGTATGCTAGAATTTCCCACTCCAGCTAGCTAACTGGTTAAGTCGTTGAAAAACGGCCTGTTATTTAGGTTGCTCAGACGGTCAAGCGTTTATAATACGTTGTACGGAACCTGATATTTTACACTTGCGAAATTATGGAGGGAGAGAATTTGTTTTCGATTACGCCAAGTCAAATAAATTAACCAAGTAATAAAGAATGTAATTCTATACTCTTGTCTGCTCATTTCACTATTTTACCGTCACAACGCGACGTTTGCGACGACGTAAAAAAACCGCCTTGACCACATTGCAAACTGCAGCATTACAACCGTATTTGAACGACACGATTCACGGTTATAACGGTAGTAACGTATTTTGACCAGCTTGGCAAATAGTCCCGGCACTTAGAATGAATAGCATAACGGATTCCAACGGCTGAGCTTGGAATGTCGGCAATCACCAACGTAAAATGACCGGGACAGCTGGTGGGAAATATTAAAGTCCACGTGATTTCACCGT